CTGTAGGTGAACACTGGGGACAAGGGAGAAGCTTGGGGATGCGGTGACAAAGCCACCCGTCACATGGGGTGGGTGTTTTGCCGTCTTGGCACTGAAAGCAGCGCCTGGGAAGGAGCCAGCTGGAGGTGGTGGTTCCCAAGGGAGTCACCCGGGATGCTGAGGGGGGTGGAGGGTTTGGAACCTGCTGCCTGATTTCAGACGGATCTGACAGAGGGCACGAGATCAAATTCCTGGCGGTATTTTTGGGAGACAGTTGGCTGGGACAGGGCTCTGCTCCCCCAGGCACGTGCCACGGCGGCCCCACAGCTGGCCCAGTGGCGGGGAGGGTGGCAAGGCCAATTCTCAGACCTGTCCCCTGAGCTTCCCATCCCATCCCAAGCTCCAGACCTCCCTCTTTCCCCTTGGCATGCCCAGCAGGCAGGGCTGTGTGGCTCCCTTGGCAGTGGGATGGGGCTGAGAGGAGAAGCTGCAAGGGCAGCAGCTTTGCAGGAGCAGCTCCTCCTCCAGCACCATTCCTTGGGGTGAAATTCCAGCCAGGGGCCTTTTTTAGTGGTCACTGTCCCCACTGGGTCATTGTTCCCACTCACCATCAGGGTTGAAATGCACGTCCTCCTCCACGCCCACGCCGTGCTGGCCCGAGCTGTAGGAGGAGGGGTTGGCAGAGAAGCTCTGCCCGGTGCCACCGTCCCCTCTGGGCTCCTGGGTGTCCCTCCTGGCAGGGACAAAGCCCAGGAGCACCGGGCCACCGTGGCTGGGACGCTGGGCCATGGCAGTGTGGCTGGAGGCACGGTGGGGGTAGCTGGCGGTGCCAGGGTTGGGGGGCTCAGGGGGGCTCTGAGGCACAGCAGGAGCAGCTCCCTGGCCACCCCCCGGCTCCACGTGCTCCGTGCTGCCCACGTGGAAAACCCACACGCCGGGGATCCCCGTGTTGCTCTCCCTGTGGACACAGCACACACAAACATCACCACAGCCATGCTGGAAAAGCCACCCCAAAGGTGGCAGCACCCCAATACAGCCCCTGTGCATGTGGGGCTGAGCCCCTGGTGCAGCCCAGAACCCCAAGGTCACTCCCCAGGTTTTTCCAGGCTCTGAAAGGCTCCAGGGCTGGGGGAAGGTGATGCTGCTCCCCCTGCCCACAGCAGGGCCCCCCAGGTTGCACCCAC